CAGGAAACACTTTTTCACTGTGAGGGTGACTGAGCACTGGCACGGGTTGCCCAGAGAGGTGGTGGAGTCTCGATCCCTGGAGATATTCAAAAGCTGTCTGGAGATGGTCCTGGGCAGTGTGCTCTAGGTGGCCCTGCTGAGCAGGGGGGTTGGACCAGATGACCTCCAGAGGTCCCTTCCAACCTCAACCATTCTGTGGCTCTGGGAAAATCGAGACATTTGACCACAGAAAACTTTCTTTCTCTGGGCTCCTCAGGAAATCCTCATGAGTAAATGCCCAATTTCCAACATACTCTAGTCAGACAAAGGACCTGCACAGTGACAAACTCATGGAATCAGGTCCTAAGCTATCCCATTGAGTTTAAAACCAAAAAGGAACAGTCGTGATCCTCTACTCTGACATACAATATTATGTTCCTATACATACAGCTTGACAGATCATCTTTGTGCATTATTAGTTGTTATTAATGAAGTTAATTGCAGTAATATTTCAGGGCCTTTGGGAACGGCATCCTATTGTGTCAAGAAAACAGAACGGACCGCTAGACATTCCTATGGCATTCACAATCTTAATTTTCCTACACTAAAACAATAAATAGATGATCCATAGCAACTCTAAGGAACAGAAATGGTGATGGCTTTCATTTTGTGCCCTTGATGGTATTGATTTAACCTTTATGAAAATTAATCTCAGGAGAGGAACAGAGCCTGAAGATTTTACTTTTAAGACTTGCAATTTCCAAGAGCAATTGCAAGTTGTGGCTCTTCCTGGTTGTTTGGGTTTTCTTTTTTGTGTGTGTGTGGATTGATTTTCTTATTTGATAAAGTGGATACCAGCTAGTGCCTTGTAACTTGGGCAACCTGTTTTCAGGAGTCATTCACTTATCTTATAATTGGCAATAAAATGTTCCATCTCTTACTGTAGCTTGTTTAAAAATCATTCATTGCTAATAACAAATGAAAACTCAGCATGTGGAAGTGTTGGAAAAGGATGTTGAACCACGTGCAGGGAATTTTATTCATCTTGATATTTTTGTGCACCTGTGAAGTAATTGGGGCATATGAGTCCATGATTAAATGTAGGTGGTAAAATAATTTCAACCCTCTATTAAACCTAGTGTTGAAATTACTCACTTCACATGAGGAATACCCTCTATATTAACATATATAAGATACAACCCTCCAGCATGGAGAAGTAAAGAAAAAAATCCATGGTTAGGAAAGGGCCACTCTTAAATCTGAAGCCCAACTTCTGTTTAGGTGGCATTAGTACATGTTCTTCCAGAGCTCTGCTGATTTTCATCGTGGATGCAGCCCTCACAAGCAAGCAAGGAAATGGAATGCAACCCCAGCTTGACCTGACCAGAAGCAGAATAGGAGATACTACCTCTCTCTTTGCCCCATTCTGACTATGAATAGGAAAGAGGAAGTCTAAAGAGGATCCTAAACCAAAATCACCGATACAGACATTCAGCAGACTCTGGGGAAGTTGTGACCCAAGTCACAATCTGAACTTTGTGGCTGAAGCTTCCCTCTTGATCAGGCTAAATTAAAATCTAAAACCCAGCGAATGAGGTTGAATTGACAGAGAGG